TCAGGGGCGAGGTGTAGGGGCAGGTGTAGCACTTCCTGCGGTTGCAGGGAAAAGTACTGGGGGTAGTGGGGCTGGTGGGAAGTGTGGAGCGGACAAGGGAGTCACGGAGAGAGTGGTCCCTGCAGAAGGCAGATAAGGGTGGGGAGGGAAAAATGTCTTTGGTAGTGGGGTCAGATTGCAGAAAGCGGAAGTGCCGGAGGATGATGCGTTGGATCCGGAGGTTGGTGGGGTGGTACGTGAGGATGAGGGGGATTCTGTTTTGGTTGTTATTGCAGAGAGGGGGTGTGAGGGATGAGTTGCAGGAAATGCGAGAGATGCGGTCGAGGGCGTTTTCGACCACTGTGGAGGGGAAGTTGCGGTCCTTGACAAACGAGGTCATCTGGGATGTCCAGGATTGGATTGCCTCATCTCAGGATCAGATGCGGCAGAGGTGAAGGAATTGGGAATAGGGGATGGCCTTTTTGCAGGAAGGTGGGTGAGAGGAGGTGTATTCTAGGTAGCTGTGGGAGTTGGTAGGCTTGAAATGGATATCCGTTTCCAGGTGGTTGCCAGAGATGGAAACAGAGAGGTCCAGGAAGGAGAGAGCGGTATAGGAGACGGTCCAGGTGAAACTAGCCTCATCCCGCCTCCTTGACCTGTCCGTCCTCCCTGGACTGACCTATCCCCACCCTAACTCCCCACCTACATTCAACTTTACTCCATCCCCACCTCTTTGACCTGTCTGTCTCCTCTCCACTTATCTGCTCCTTTATCCATCTTCTATCCGCCTCCCCTCTCTCTCTATTTATTTCAGATACCCCTTCCCCTCCCCCGTTTCTGAAGAAGGGTCCAGACCCGAAACGTCAGCCTTCCTGCTCCTCTGATGTTGCTTGGCCTGCTGTGTTCATCCAGCTCTACACCTTGTTATCTCAGATTCTCCAGCATCGGCAGTTCCTACTATCTCTGAATCCATTTTAACCCCGTCTTATTTGTGATGCGTTTGGCAAGATCACGACGAGTGAATGTTTAGTATTTGCTTGAGGGTGTAATGAAACAGAAGACACTTCAGGGGATTGGTACACGGTCTGCAGTTTTTTTTCCGCCGCAGAGATTAGACACTGACCAGATGGGCCGAATGGGCTCCTCCGGTACTGTCATCATTGTGGTCCCGAGCTACTGCAAGTTTTGAATTTCGCGGGCTGGAACCGGTGGCTCAGGTCCCGGATGTGGTGTCGATCGTTCCAGAGATCTGCAAATGTTCACCGGAAGGCGAAAACCGATAGTCTGAGTTTCGGACTTTCACAACTGAGAAAAATGCAAAGGCGACTTTCTTTTTGGAACGAAAGCTTCATAAAAAAGATTAAAACTCAGTAGATGAAATTAGCTTGATTACCTTCCTACCTGATATGGGTGGCCATGCCTCTTAGACTCTAAACTCTAGTGTGCCTGCCCTAAACCCCACCTACTTTAAGACCTTCCTGAAAAGCTAAACGTTTGGGCAGGTGTTTTAACATCTCGTTTTCTGTCTGGCTGTTGGATTTTGTGATCACTTTGCCGTGAAGCGCCTAGGGATCTTCTGATAAGTTGAATGCATGATCTCAGCATAAGTTGATCTTTCTGTATTTGAAATTTCCAGCATAGTCGTATTTCGATTTTTTTTTGTTGAATTGGCACATTCGTACCAGCGTAGAAAACCGATTGTACAAAATCATTACACAGTTTACTACATTTTAAAAACGCTAATTTTGAAACTATTGGATAAAGTTAATTAAATACATAATTCAGCGCTAACAAATTTAGTCGAACAAAACTATTAAAAATCACCAGATAGGAAAACTTAATGTCACTTGACATTCCATTTAAGAATATTGTAGCAAGAGTAATTATAATTCCGGTATAGCAATGTGAACAGAGCGAAGTAAGCATGGAGCCTAATATACTTTTACTTTTGGCTTAACTGTACCATATACTTCTAGTAATTATATATCATAAGGTTAGAATTTGCTAAGACGTGTTTATGCTTTTTGGGCTACATCAGTGGAGAAATGGGAATTAAATTGAAATATTATGTTCTGATTAGTTCAATTCAATGGCTTTTTTTTTATCTTATCAATTAGGACAATGGATCTCTTATCATTACTGTGTTACTGTCTGGTGATTTACGTGATTGCGCAGCTTATTCGGTTCTTGAGAGCTGATGGAGATTTGACTTTGCTGTGGTGTGAATGTTTTGGAAACAAGCTAGGTACAGAGATTGCAATTTTATTTCCGTATTCAATAAGTTAATCTACTTTAAATAGTGTTGTAAAAAATTAACCATTGTACCAGTATGAACTCACTTCAGATTTCAATATACTGCACTTTTATCGACAAATTTCCATGTCCTTTAAACTTATTCCCTTAAACATCTTATGTCCCCTAGTAATTGTAAGAAAAACCATCCCAGGCTATCTAGTGACAACAAGGTGCAGGGCTGGATGAACACAGCAGGCCAAGCAGCATCATAGGAGCAGAGAGGCTGACGTTTCGGGCCTAGACCCCCTTGTTGTCTCGGATTCTCCAGCATCTGCAGTTCCTACTATCTCCAGGCTATCTAGTCTCTTTTTATAGCTAAATTTCTCCAGCACAGGCTACATGTTGGTAAATAAAAACTGAAAGAACTGCAGATGCTGGAAATCAGAAACAAAAGCAGGAATTGCTGAAAATCTCGGCAGGTCTGGCAGCATCTATGGAGAGATATCAGACTTAATATTTCAGGTCTAGTGACCCTTCTTCAGAAGAAAGACAGATCTCTCTTTAGTCCAGTGTATTCAAATCTCACATGAGTCGCAAATCCTAGTTGATGCTATTACTGGTAACACAGTGTGGAGCTGGAGGAACACAGCAGGCCAGGCAGCATCAAAGGAGCAAGAAAGCTGATGTTTCGGGTTGGACCCTTCTTCAGAAGGATCTTTTTCCGAATTCATTTTCTGAAGTTATTTCTGAAGAAGGGTCCTGACCCGAAACGTAAGCTTTCTTGCTCCTTTGATGCTGCCTGGCCTGCTATGTTCCTCCAGCTCCACACTGTGTTATCTCTGACTCCAGCATCTGCAGTTCTTACTATCTCTGATGCTATTACTGGACTAGGCATATTCCAGACTGAAATCTGTCTCGATAGATTTAAAAAAAAAAATATTAAGATGGTCTTTCACTGAAACATAAGCCTGCAATACTGCAGATCTGGTTTCAACAGATTTTGTAAAAGTGAAAAAAAACCAAGCTATGTCCATATAATACAGTTTGAAAGATTTTGAATTGCACAATAAAAATACAATCCCTTCTATCTCAGTAAGCAAGAAAATCCCTTTTTTTTTTGTTCTTATGACGTCTATAGCCTTTAACGTGACTGTTTCCTTTCAACTCCCAATTTAGCAATTTCTCTTCTTTGGTTAGTCCCACAACGAACTAACTCAGCTTCAAGCACCCACTTCAGGGATTTAACCAAACATTGCAGACCAGAAATTTTCACACTGACCTTTTTATACTGAAGTAACCTATTTCTTAACAATTCTAAACCATCTTCCTTCGTCAGGATAATAAGGTGTAGAGCTGGATGAACACAGCAGGCCAGGCACCATCAGGGGAGCAGGAAAGCTGACGTTTCGGGTCTGGACCCTTCTTCAGAAGTGGGGGAGGGGAAGGGGGCTCTGAAATAAATAGAGAGTGGAGAGGCGGTGATAGAAGGTGGATAGAGGAGCAGATAGGTGGGAGAGAAGACGGACAGGTCAAGGAGGCAGGGACGAGGCGGGTGCTGGTCTTGGGATGAGGTCGGGGGGCGGTGGGGAGATTTTGAAGCTTGTAAAGACCCCATTGAGACCATTGCGTTGTAGGGTTCCAGTTTTGGGTGGCAGTTTTCCCGATGTGGCCTCCTCTACATCAGGGAGACCAAGCAGAGGCTTGGAGACCGCTTTGTGGAGCACCTATGCTCGGTTCGCGACAAACGACAACACCTCTCAGTTACAAACCACTTCAATTCCCCCTCCCACTCCCTGGACGACATATCCATTCTGGGCCTCCTCCTGTGTCACAACGATGCCACCCAAAAACTGGAGGAACAGCACCTCATATTCTGCCTTGGAACCCTACAAGCCAGTTCCAAATCTCTTCAGAGCTTCAAAATCTCCCCACCCCCACCCTCATTGCAAGACCAGCACCCCCCCAATCCCCGCCTCCTTGACCTGCCCGTCTTCTCTCCACCGATCTGCTCCTCCCACCTCACCGACCAACCCCCACCCCCACCCGACTTCTTACCTACACTCACCTCTACTAGCTTCATCCCTGCCTCCTTGATCTGTCCGTCTTCTCTCCACCTATCTGCTCCACTATGCACCCTCTATCACCGCCTCCCCCCTCTCTATTTATTTCAGAGCTACCTTCCCCTCCCCCACTTCTGAATAAGGGTGCAGACCCGAAACGTCAGCTTTCCTGCTCTTCTGATGCTGCCTGGCCTGCTGTGTTCATCCAGCTCCACACCTTGTTATCTCAGACTCCAGCATCGGCAGTTCCTACTACCTCTTCCTTCTTCCGGAGATATTTGTGTGTGTGTGTGTTACATATAACTTCTACCAGGACATCTGTGAACTAAAAACAAAAACTTCCCAAGCTACGGGTTTGCCCCTTAAATCAAAAAGAAATCCCTTACTTTCAGTTTGGAAAGATAAGCTCATGCTCTTCCAATGTTTGCTCTGACTGTTTGTAAAACTCTCTCAATGCTAACAAATTACTGTTAGCACCCAGGGACTACCCCTTTCACACTGGCTTTTAAATGATCATAACTCCCAAAATACTGACGCTAAACTGCTCCAAAACCTACATGCCACTAGTTCAAAGTCCAAATTCTTAAATAAATAATTGCTCATATAAATCCGACACCTTGCATCACACTAGCTTTGGTTGGGATAGTGTGTTACTTGGAGGCAGATTTGGAAGGTGCTGCAGAAGGAGCCATGGTGAGTAATTGCAGTGTGAGAGATGGCATACATTAATGCCACTCTGCATTGGTGAAGGGAGTAAATGTTAATGGATGGTGCGCCAATTGAGTATACTGCTTTTTTTTCTGGATGGTGTTGAACTTCTTGATTGGAGCTGTAGTCATCTAAGAAGCTCATCTCAAACATCCAGAGATCTGGTGTGGTAGATGTCCACACAGTTTTCAAGTCTTGAGCACCCATTTTACATACACAAAAAATACAAGGTCTATGCTCCTTTATCTGTGACGTCTCAGCTATCATTAAGACACAGACTTATTCATTAATGAAATTTACTACTTTGTGAAAGGCGTTTTTGATAGTCGAGGGATAACATTGCAAGCTGGGTATTTAATATTCAATAGATGACAAACTCTTCAAGAAAGTGGTATGGATAACAGGGGCCTCTTCTGGAATTGGAGAGGAGCTGGCATATCAACTAGCAAAATTAGGAGCTTTCTTGGTGCTTTCTGCTAGGAGAGTTGCTGAACTGGAACGAGTTAAACAAAACTGCCTTGGTAAGTAAAATATTTTTAATTATGACATGGATTACTGGAAAAGTAAATTTAGTAAATAAACTAAAGGAAATTAATTTGTTGTGCTGTTTGCTAGCCTTAGAGATTGCAACAGGGGTGTGGAATAATTTTAGCACAATCAGCATTTCTACTGAATGTAAGTAAAAAGGTTTCTTCTTGTGAACTGTCTGAAATTATCTTGCTTTGCCTCGGTTGAAACTGTAGACTTTTTTTTATTTCAGTTCCCTTATTTAAATCTTTCACGGCCAAGCATCATTTACATGAAGACAGCTGTCATCACCCTCTTGATCCAATTGTTAAGAAATATAGAGGAGTGTGATTTTTGACCCATGTCCAGTTATCTCGGTCTGTGTACTTATGTGCATGACTTCCACTGATTATTATAGGTAACATGCACTCCCCAGCAGTGGTTATGTTGGCAGCATACTGAGGCCATCCCTGTCAGACTACATATAATTGGAGTTTCCTGCACTGTGTTGCTCACCACTGTGCTCAGTGGCAAATGGAGTGTGATAACCGATCAATCTTGACAATTAGACAGTATAGGTTTTCAGTTAGATGTACTTTCAGCTAGGAGATGTGAACATGTTATGATACGATTGGATAGTATAATCATGTGTATTATTTGAATGTGATTGGATCATACAGTCATATGTATCATGATGGCATGTAGACTGAATACTGTTAATTAGGGATTTGGATGAATAAATATATAACCTTTTGGAAATTATCTGTAGAAATAGTTGATTGGAAGCCTTATCTGAAAAAATATAAAATCTGTTTTTTTTAAAATAAAGACTTTGAACTATGTGCCATTTTTTGATCTGTTCATTTCCGATGCATGTGTGAATAAATTATTAAACAAAGAAACCAGAGTCTCGTCTGGCCTAAGAGGGGATTAAGATTTAATATCTCACTTTTTCTAGGGTGGCACGGCTGAGATCAGCCATGACCTCTGAAAGTGGGGTGGCTCAGCATCAGGTGGGATCTTAGGCATATTAGGTCAATAACAACTGAGATGGGGTCTCTGAGTCAGATTGGGGACCTGAAGTTTAGCACTTGATTGGGCAGAGCTTGGCTGCCTGGAGAGATTTAGATAAATTGGGCCTTCAGTCTAAGTACGTAATAACAAAGAATTCAGGTCACAAGCATCCCCGGACAGGAGGTTTCTTAAATACAATTAAATAAATCCACAAAGAAGTAGATCATTCTCTGTTGGAACCTAGGATATTGAAATTAAAAGGGAGATTTTTCAAACAATGTATTGGTCATATTCCAGATGACTGGAGGCAAACTCCCATGTCATGACTATGTACTATGCTGGTATATTTAAAATAATTTGTGTATCTCACTCCTGCTATAAAAGATTTGACAAAAGTTAAAAACCTGAAACTGGAAGGAAGTACTCAGAAGGTAATCAGCTTGGTTGTGTAAAAGGAAAAGTAATAATAATAATAATCTTGTAAGGAAGTGAGAAGCTTGTTATTTGTATTTCATTGATGTAGTAAATCTTTTTTGGTTTGAATGTGAATTTCTCCCTGAACTAAATGTTAACCTCTGTGGTGTAGTCTTGTATGTATTAAAAGTTGTCATGTCTTTGTAATACGGGTGAGATTTTAAACCAGTTTAAATTTAAATGTTTTTCAAAGATAAGGTTGAGGCTAGTACAGAAGTTAGAGATCAAGTTAAAGAGACAAAGCAGGCAAGAGCATTTCAGGAAACAAGGGAAGACAGATGAATTAAACTGCATTTATTTCAGTGCAAGAGACCTGACGGGTAAGGCAGATGAACTGAGGGCATGGATGGGAACATGGGACAGGGAAAGATGGCTGAACGATCGACAGGACTAACAGCACAATGTTGCAGGGCACAGATGCCATAGGAAGGATATAAGGGGAAGCAAGAAAAGAGGGGGAGTGGCGTTCTTGTTTCAGGAAACATCACCATTACTTGGTTCCATTCATGAAGACTCACTGATCCCCCAGGAATGGGTGGCACGGTGGCTTAGTGGTTAGCACTGCAGCCTCACAGCACCAGGGACCAGGGTTCGATTCCACCCTTGGGCGACTGTCTGTGTGGAGTTTGCGCGTTCTCCCTGTGTCTATGTGGGTTTCCTCTGGTTGCTCTGGTTTCCTCCCACAGTCCAAAGATGTGCAGGCTAGGTGGATTGGATATGCTAAATTGCCCATAGTGTTCAGGCATTTGTAGATTAGGTGGGTTACAGGGGGATGGGTCTGGGTGGGATGCTCTGAGGGTCGGTGTGGACTTGTTGGGCTGAAGGGCCTGTTTCCACACTGTAGGGATTCTATGAAATCTATGAATATCCTCTACAAAATAAAGAGGTGATCACTTTGATGGAATTGTACTATGGCCCCCCAGTAGTCAGTGGAAAATTGAGGAGCAAATATATGGGGAAATCGTAGATAGCTGTAAGGATAATAGCATGGGATTTTAACTTTCCAAACCCTAGGCTAGGATTGCCATAGTGCTAAAGGCTTGGATGGAGCTGAACTTCAGTGTGTCCTTGAAAAACTTCTCAATCGATACACAGATGGCCCTACTACAGAAAGGGCAAAACTCGACCTCCTCTTGGTAAATAAGGCAAGGCAAGTGTCTGAGGTTTTAGTGGGGGAGCACTTTGAGACCAATGACTGTAATTGTTAGTTTTTAAAATAGTTGTGGAAAAGAATGTTCCGTTCCACAAGTTAAAGTTCTAAATTGAGGGAAAGGCAACTTTGGTGTTCGACAGGAACTTTCAAAAGTTGACTGGGGAGGCTGTTGGCAGGTAAGGGGATGTCTGGCAAGTGGAAGGCTTTCAGAAGTGAGATAATAAGAGTTCAGGGCCAGCGTGTTCCTGTTTATGAGAAGGGCAAAGCTTCGGGAGTAGGAAACACTGGATGACTAGAGATATTGAGTTTCTGGTCAAGAAAAAGGAGGCAGCATATGTCAGATATAGGCAGCTGTGATCAAGTGAATGCCTCAGAGAATATTGCGTGTAGGAGTACACTTAAGAGGGAAATCAGAAGGGTAAAGAGGGGACATGACATAGCTTTGGCAGATAAGGTAAAGGAGAATACAGAGAGTTTCTACAAGTATATTAAAGGCAAAAGAGTAACTAGGGAGAGAATAGGACTCCTTAAAGATCAATGAGGCCATCTATCTGTGGAAGCAGAGGAGATATTTGCTATCCTTAATGAATCTTTCTCATCAGTATTTACTGTGGACTTGGAGAAAGGAAGCAGATATACTGTACCCAAATTTGCAGACAATACAAAAATCGGTGAAAAGACAGGTTGCAAGAGGGATACTGTTTACAGACATATTGGTAGGTTTAGTGAGCAAAAAGTTGGCAAATGGAGTATAATGTGGGAAAATGTGAAGTTGTTCATTTTGGAAGGGAGAACAATGAACAGTATTATTTAAATGAAAAAAAGCTGCAGAAAGCTGCCCAAATCCCTTCATGATTGTGCATGAAACATACAGCTGGGACACAGGTAATCAGGACGTAATCAGGAAGACTAATGGAATGTTGGCCCTTATTTCAAGGGATTGGAATATGAATAGGAGAGTCTTACTACAACCAGCTAGGTTGCTGGTGAGTTCACATCTGGAGTACTGCAAGCAGTATTTATCCCCTTATTCACAAAATATATCATTTCATTGGAGGCACTTTGGAGAAGGTTCACCTAGGATGATCCCCAGTATGGAGGGATTATCTTGTGAGCAAAAGCTGGGATTCTACTCATTAGAATTTAGAACAATGAGAGGGTGATTTCATTGAAACATGTAGGATTGTTAAGAGGCTTGACAGCGTAAATGCTGAGAGGATGTTTCCCATTATGGGACAGTCTAGGACCAGACGATTTTGTCTCCGTGTTAAGGGGTGCCAATTTAAAACTGAGATGAGGAAAAATTTCTTCTGAGGCTTGTGAGCCTGTGGAACTTCTTACCACAGCAAACTATGGGTTAGGTTAGGGTCTAAGCCAACTTGAGAGCATGCAAATACAAGACAAAATATTGGGAATTTAGAATTGCAACTGCAGCTGTAAGACTAAGACTGTTTTGTTTCAAATCCAGGCGTCCATCCTCAAATAAGAGGTGATAAACTCCCAAGTTTGTTGGCTTTTATCAAAGAATTATAGTCTGGTAATTGACTAAATGGAGCCTCTTTCTATTAGGATTGATCTTATAGACTTTATTATAAACTGTAGAAATTAACATGCTTCCTATCCTTATGCATAAGGAGTAAGGAATACTAAATTGTTTCTAAAATTCCACCCAACATAATCAATCCAGAGAAAAACAAATTGTTAATGATAAAGTGTCTGATTTTTGCAGAAATGTCATAAATTAAGTTCTGGGATTGAGACATGAGCTCAAGACGTCAAAATCACTGAGTCTGGATTGCCTAGGCTTCCCTTTTCCTTTAACAAAGAAGCAAAGAATATTTAATTTTTTTTTAAAAACTGTGATCGAGAAATCCAGAAACAGAAGCAAATTGCTGGAAAAACAGCTGATCTAGCAGCATCTGTGGAGAGAAAGCAGAGTTAATGTTTTGGGTCCGGTCTTCTGAATAGATCACTGGACCCTGAAACGTTAACTCTGCTTTTTCTCCACGGATACTGTCAGACTGGCTGAGGTTTTTCCATCAATTTTTGTTTCTGTTTTCGAGCAAAGAATATTTACTTTAGCAAAATAATAACAAACCTGATGAAAAGGATGGACCCACAAGTGACTTCAGTCAGTGCCCATCACCCTTAAGAGCCAATTAGAGTTGAATCATGCAGTGCTTAAACTAATCAATGTCGTACTTGGCTTAGGTCAATCAGAATGACTTATGTAATTGATGGTGCTGTGTGGGGCTTGGAAAGAATGAATAAGCAATGGCTTTTGATGACTATGACATGGGTGGTGAGAGTTGTGATCCTGCTTCCAAACTGGAATGCTGAGCACCTATATTTGGCCTCCTTGGGTATTTGCCAAGGGCCAATAGGAGGGACTGAAAGCAGGATTGGTGAGTTGGTGGGGGAGAGCAATAAAATTAGGTTTTCTGGTAATTGCCAATATGTGCCAAAATTATATATACTTACAGCTAGAAGAATTGAACATGTGATATGATTGGATAATATGGTCTTGTGTACTAATCTGAAATGTAGACTGTAAACATTGTTGGATAGAGATATGGATGAGTAAATATGTAAATTTTTTTGATTAGAAACTATCTGTAGAAATAGTTGATTGGAAACTTATCAGTAAAGTATAAACCTTTTGCTTTTGGAATATAGCCTTGTGCTGTGTGCCATTTTTATTGATATATACATCTCCCATGCATGCGTGAATAAATGTGTAAACATAGAACTTTGAGTCTTGTCAGGTCTAAAATAGAATAAAGGGTTAAAATTGCCCTTTTGCGTCTAAACAAAATCACCAAAAAGCAGTCGTAAGAGGGCACATTCTCCTGTGGTACCACATTCCATGCTGCACTCAGTGGAAACATCAACTTGCATCACGAAAGCTGTGGTCGACTGGTATGCTATATGTACAGAATTCGTCAGAAGTTGTAATGTTATGACACATTACATTTACAAGGGTTATTATTGAAACTCTATACGCTGTTTGAGCACTTTCATTTCGTTGTCCTTCGACATTTATTTTCCTTTTCCAGTATTTTACTGAAACTTGCGCCAAATATTTTTCTCTTAGTAATTCTTTATGTAGTAGAGGAACATTTCAAGTATCATAGATTAATTAAACTTCATTAAGATTGAAGATTTGAAATTGGAATTGCCACTTACGTACACCACCCTCTTCTTGACCTATGCTTTACAAAGAACCTTTTTTTGACATGCAGTTTTACATTGTAAGTTAAGGGAATATTTAAAATATAAATACTGTACTGAAATTTGGAGGGGGTGGGGTGGCAGGGATAAAAGGATTTCAAGTGGATGTTGTCCTCAGTCAGTACTTAAATATTATCAAGCTGGCCGACTTTTGGAAACAGATAGCATGTTGCATTCTTTTACCATGAACATGGAGTCTTTTATTTGGCTTTTGTGCCAATCATCTGCAGTGTTGTTCAATATTTCTACCCTTTGAACTTGCTAAATTTAGACTTGTTTGATGGCAATGCTGTCCACAATCCTGCAAATTTTCGAATGAGACAACAGAGAAAAACACGTTTGACTATTGTACCTGTCAGTGTTACCTAATTAGTTACACTTTTTGTCTCCGGCTCACTTCTCATAGCCCTCTAAAGCCTAGTTTTAGAGAGGTTTAATATAATTATCTTGTTTTTGTACGATCCAGTCCTGTTAATAAAATCAACATAGAGTCGTAGAGTTATAGAGCATGGAAACAGACCCTTCAGTCCAACTCATCCACACTGACCAGACATCCCAATCTGACCTGGTCCCATTTGCCAGCATTTGGCGAGTATCCCTCTAAACCCATCCTATTCATACACCTATTTAGATGCCTTTTAAATGTTGTAATTGTACCCACCTCCACCACTCCCTCTAGCAGCTTGTTCCATATGCACAGCACCCTCTGCATGAAAAGGTTACCTCTTAGGTCCTTTTTAAAACTTTATGCCCCTTACCTTAAACCTATGCCCTCTAGTTTTGGACTCCCCCACCCTAGGAAAAACACTTCGGCTATTCACCCTATTCATGCCCCTCATGATTTTATAAACCTCTATAACGTCATCCCTCAGTTTCCAATGCTCCAGGGGTAAACAGCCCAGCTTCTCCCTGTATCGCAAAATTTGCAATCCTGGCAACATCCTTGTAAATTTTTTCGACATGCTTTCAAGTTTAACAACATCCTTCTTATAGAAGGGCAATCAGAATTGTACACTGTACTCTAAAAGTGGCCTCACCAATGTCCTGTACAGCCACAACCTGGCATCCCAATTCCTGTACTCAATGTTCTGACCAGTGAAGGCAGGAGTACCAAACTCCACCCTTTACCACCCTGTCAAGCACCTGCACTCCTAGATCTCTTTGTTTGGCAACACTCCCCAGGGCCCTACCATTAACTGTGCAAGTCCTGCCCTGATTTGTCTTTCCAAAATGCAACACTTCACATTTACCTAAATTAAACTCTCATCTGCCACTCCGCAGCCCACTTTATACCAACTGACCCACTCCATCCTGCTGCTTTCAAAAGATTTGCATACATCCACCTGTAATGATTAGAATGAGATCAGCCAGGTGGACCTCAGAATGAGTTCCCTGATTGGAACAGGTTAATAGCCCCAATCAGGGAGTCCTGGCTGACAGACGTATACAAGAGTCTCAGGGGTTGTGCTCACTCTAGGAGCCAGCACTGAGTTAGCTGGGTTAGTGTCATGTACTATGCATGTGTAAAAAAAAAAGGGTGAATTAGTGTCAGTGTACTGTTTTAGTTTCTGTTTAAAGACACTGAAAGGTATGTCAAGAAAAATAATCCACTGCCCATATTAAAAATGCAAAATATTCAAATGATTACCTGCTAACTCTCAGGATAAGACTTTAATGTGGGGTAGAGTGCCTTGTGCCTCAAATTGCTTTTAAGTTTGCATAGATCTGCAAATTATCGTACGTGACAAGAATGCATAAACTTTCAATTATATTACTGGGAGTTTTATTTTGTTTTAATTTAATCTTTATTCTATACTTCCAAGTTCAAGTTTGTTATGCTTCAAATTTTAATCGTGGCATAGTTTTAACCAAATTTATCAATAGCCATGGTTTTGTGTTTTTTAAGCAATACCTAAATATGAAAGCTGAAAGAATGAAATGATTTGACACCAAATGTTTTTTGTTTTAGTATTCCCTCAGTGAGTTTGTGACTTGTTTTGTAGATCATAGCAAGCTACAAGAAAAGGACATTCTTGTTCTGCTACTTGACCTGAATGTAAGCAGTTCCCACAAGAGTGCAACAAAAAGTGTTATCCAGTACTTTGGTAAAGTACGTTTCCTCATGATTTTCCATTTATAATAAGACCATAAGACACAGAAGTAGAATTAGACAATTTGGCCCATCAATTCTGTTCTGCCATTTGATCATGGCTGGTGTGTTTCTCAACCCCACTTTCCTGCCTTTTTCCTGTTACCCTCGATCCCCTTATCAATCAAGAACCAATCTATCTCTGACTTAAACATGCTTAGTGTCTTAGCCTCTGTAGCCTTCTGCGGCAAGGGAGTTCCACAGAATAACCACCCTCTGGCTGAAGAAATTCCTTCTCCTCTCAGTTCTAAAGGGCTGTCCCTTCACTCTGTGGCTATGCCCTCACGTCCTAGTCTCTTCTACTAGTGGAAACCTCTTACCCATGTTTACTCTATCCATGTCTCCCAGTATCTGTAAGTTCAATAATATTCTCTTCTCCATGCCACCACCTCCCCCTCCCCCCACCCCCCACCCCCTACCCCCTACCCAATCCTTTTAAAACTCTTGAGTACAGACCGAGAGTCCTTAACCATTCCTTGTTACAAGCCCTTCATCCCCAGGATCATTCTTGGAAACCATCTCTGGACCTCCAAGGCCACCACATCCTTGCATAGATACTGGCCCAAAACTGCTCACAATATTCCAACTGGATCTGTCCAGAGACAAATACAGCCTCAGCAGTATATTTCTGCTGTTGTATTCTAGCCCTCTTGAACTGAATACAAACATTACATTTGCTTTCCTAAATGCCAACTGAACCTACATGTTAATCTTAAGAGAATTCTGAAGTGGTGCAACAAGTCCCTTTGTGCTTCAGACTTCTGAAGCCTTTCCCTGTTTAAAAAATAATCTATGCCTCTTCTTCCTTCGAAAGTGCATAACCTCACACTTTCTCATATTATATTCCATTTGCCATTTCTTTGCCCAATCTCTTAGCTTGTCCAAGTCCTTCTGCAGTCTTCCTGCCCCCTCAACATTACCTATCTCTTAATCTATCTTTATGCCATCTGCAAAAGTAGCAATAATACCCTTAGTTCCTTCGTCCAGATCGTTAATCTATAATGTGAATAGTTGTGGTCCTGACATAGACCCCTGTGAAACTTCACTACTCTCTGGCTGCCATTGTGAAAAAGAATCCCTTTATCCCCACTCTCTGCCTTCTGTCAGTCAGCGATAACTCTGTCCATGCCAGTCCCTTGCCCCCCCTAACACCATGGGTTCTTATTTAACAGCCTCTTGTGTGGCACCTTGTCAAAGGCTTCTTGGAAATCCAAATAGCTCACACCAACCAGTTAAACACTTACCTAACTTGCTTAATACCTCCTTAAAGAATTCTAACAGATCTGTCAGGCATGACCTTCCCTGGCCAAAGCTGTCCATGTTTTACCATGTGCTTCCAAGTACTCCACAATCTCCTTCTGAAAAATAGTCTAATATCTCACCAACAACCGAGATCGAGCTATCTGGCCTATAGTTTCCCGCCTTCTGCCTCTTTCCCTTCTGAAATTTAGGTGTTACAGTAGCCATTTTCCAGTCCTTTCGGACTCTCCCTGACTCTCATAATTCCTGAGGGATCACCACCTATACCTTTCGCAACTTCCTCAACTATCTCCTTCAGAATTCTGGAGTGAATTATCAAACTTCTGACATTTTCAGCTTCCACAGTACTTTCTCCTTACTGATGGCCGCTACACTCACTCCTGCCCCTGACACTCTTGAAGTTCTGATATGCTACTGGTGTTTCCCACTGTGAAGACTGATGGAAAATACCTGTTCAGTTGCTCCACCATTTCTTTGTTCACCATTACTAGTTCTCCAGCCTCATTTTCTAGTGGTCCAATGTCTGCTCCTGTCTCTCGTTTACACTTTTAAGTATCTAAAACAACTCTAGCAATATTTTATGTTACTAGCTAGCTTAGTCTCATATTTCATCTTCTCTCCTCCTCCTCCCCCCCCCCCCCCTGCCGCCACCTTTTTTTTTCAGTTATCCACTGCTGGTTTTTAAAGGCTTCTCAATCCCCAGGGTTCCCATTAATCTTCATCGCACTGTATGCCTTTTCTTTTGCTTTTATGCGGTCCCTGACTTCCCTTGTCAGCCACGGTTGCCTCGTCCTCCCTGAAGTATGTTTTTACTTCTTTGGGATGCAGTTCTGCTATATCTCCTAAATTTTCCGCAGAAGCACCTGCCATTGTTGCTGCGCCTTATTGCCTGCTACGCTTCCTTTCCAGTCACCTGGCCAGCTTCTCCCTCATTTCTTTGTAGTTACCTTTTACTCAGTTGCAATATCTGATTCCAGTTCCTCCCTCTCAAATTGCAGTGTGAATTCTGTCTTGGTCACTGCCTCCAGAATTGCCTGTTCTGTAATGGGCTCTACCATAAGCTACACCAAACAATCGCCTCATGGACCTTCCACAAATTCCTTTTCTTGAGATCCATTACCAACTTGATTTTTCCCCAGTTCAGCTGCATTTGAAGTCCCTCATAATCATTGTAATAGTGCCTTTCCTGTCTCCTGATTTATTTGCAGCCCCACATCCTGACTACTGCTAGGAGGCCTGTACACAACTCCCCATAAGGTCTTTTTTCCCTTTGCGGTTTCTTAACTCTACCCACACAAATTCTATGAATTCTGACTGTATATATTACTATCAAATTGATAGCAACAAGTCATATAGAGTCAAAAATACTAGATATAGGAACAAAATATTAAATTGATAGCAAGAATTTTGTTTGTTACTAACAAGGCATCCCTGCTGCTCCTCACCCATCTGCTTGTCCTTTCAATAGGACATGTATCCTTGAATATTTAGTTCCAAGCCCTGATCCCCTTTCAGCCACATTCCTGTGATATCCTGCAACACGAGACCTGGCAAATTCAATGTATACTACAAGCTTGTTTACCTTGTCTCATATACTGCATTCATTTAAGTACTGCACACACTTTACCTCTGAATTTTCCCCCCTTCGCTATTTTCGTTATGTTCCACGCAGTTGATCCCACAGAGATAGGCAGACACAGACCCTTACATACCCTCACCAAAGCCCCCCTCCCTGCCCCTGCTTCCATCCCAGAATGATTCAGGTGGAGCCTGTCTCATTGGAACAGCTCCCTCCTTCCCCGGGACTGGTGCCCATGTCCCATGAATTCAAACCCTTTGAGCCACGTGTTTAACTCTTTAATGTTGCTGACCCTGTGCCAATTTGCATGACTCAGGTAGTAATCCAGGGAATATCTTTTTGTTCAGCTTTTTAATCGTGCCCCTAGCTACTCATATACCCTCAGCAGAACTTATTTCCTCTTTCTCCTATATCGTTGGTACCTACATGGACCATGACAACTGGGTCTTTCCCTCCCACTCCAAGTTCCTTTGCAGCCCAGATGAGATATCCTGAATCCAGGCACCATGCAGGCAACATAGCCTTCAGGATTCTCAATCCTGGCCAGAGTGTCTATTCCGTTGATTGTATTATCTCCAGTTTCAACAACATTTCTCTTTTCTACCTCCTCTTGAATGGCTCCCTGTACCCTCTCTATAGACCCCACTTGTATCCACACATGGAGCTATAGTCTGAAGCCTATTAGACAAAGTCAAGGGCTGAAGTTACTTCAGCATGACCAAAATCAAAAATAAGAATTGCTGGAAAAGCTTAGCAGATCTGACAGCATCTGTGGAGAGAAATCAGAGTTAATGTTTCAGGTCGAGTGACCCTTCCTCAGAACTGACTTCATCAAGTATCAGTTTAATATTTTGTTTCTAAATGTAGTATTTTTGACTCTATATCACTCTTCCTTTAAATTTAATAGTGATATGCGAGTCAGAGGCATAGAATTTGTAAGCCTGCTCATGTTCTTGGGTCCATTTCCATGGCTGCCCTTTTCCTAGCAAATGTTGCAGGGGTTTTAGGATAGTTGCCAGATCAGTCATGAATTTTTCATAAGCATTGACAGGTCTAGGAATGATCTGACTTGAGACACAGTTTCTGGTTTAGGGATCTTCATGATAGCCTCCATCTTCTCAGGCACTTGTGTAATTACTCGTCATTGATTTACATGGCCCAGGTACTCTCTATGGATCCTCCTTTTTTAAAAAAAAGTTTAATTTCTCCCTTTTTACTTGTAAGCCATGCTCCTGCAACCTTTATTAGGATTTCTTCTTGATTTTTGAATGCTCCTCTTCAGAGAGATCCAGTAACCGAAGTATTGTCCAGCTAACCTGGACACCTGGCAATCCGCTCACAATTTGATCCATGGCCATCTGGAATAGAGCTAACAGAGATGTGATACCAATGGAAGCCCCTTGCAGTGGAACAGTCCCCTGTCTGTCACTATCATCAGTGGTGGCTGAGACTCCTTTGTGACCCCATATGCAAGTAGGTCTGTGGCAGATCCATTTTTAAGAATGTCTTTCCCCCAGCTAGTCCACTGAACAGGCCCTTAACAAGTTGAAGTTGGTATCGATCAGCACATAGGGCTGAGCTGACTGTGACCTTAAAATCCTCACAAATCCTCACTGCGCCTTCTATTTTTAAGACCAGAAAGATTGAAGTCGTCCATTCACTGGTGGTTACTGGTTCCAAAACTCCTACATTCACCAGCTGTTCCAGTTCTATGTCCACTTTTTCAGCCAGATGGCATACAATCACACCTTCAGATTCCTTGGACGAGCCTGTCACTTCATCTGAATTTTAATTTTTTCTCCTTTCATTACCCCAGGATTCCCTTGAAGATGGCTTTTTTTTATCTGTCCAGAATCTCTTGCAAACTCATTTTGAGTCTGCCAGCTTATTAACCACACCCCAATTTAACTTAATTTTCTGTAACCGGGGCGCTCAAATATTAGAACATAGAACAGCACAGCACAGTACAGGACCTTCGGCCTACGATGTTGTGCCGAACTTTTATCCTAAACCTAAGGTCTATCTAACCTCCACCCCTACCTTATACTATCATCCATATGCCTATCTAATAGCCGCTTAAATGCACCTAATGAGGCCGACTCCACTACCCTCTCCGGCAATG